CATCTTTCTGAAGTGTGGTGCCCGAAACTGGATGCAATACTCCAATTGTGGCCAAATCAATGATTTATACAAAAATCATGTTTGCTTTAGTTTTGTACTGTTTGCCCTTGTGTATAAAGCTGAGCATACTATCAGCTTTCTTTACAACCTACCTTTGCTATACAACTATAGTGCATGCTTGGTAAACCTTGCACTATCGGAGGAGCCATATCAGGTCCTCTGACCGTTCAGGTGAACCTTCAAAATCAAAATGAGTTTATTCCGGTGTCTGAGACGACAATCCTCTAAATAAAATTGATCATTCACTTCATGGCTGTGCTCAAATTGTCTGCCATGTTTGACTACAAATACGCAGTTAGTACACCTAACTGTAAATTCTGTGAAGTGCTTTGAGTCAGAAGTTTATGGGTTCAACACTTGATAAGTTGCTACCTCAAATGCAAGGTTTTTTTAAATTAACCAAATGTACGTTGGAAGAAAAACAGCACTTTTATAACGCTCATCATTTTTCAGTGTTTCAAAGCGCTTTGCAACAATTACTGTGAAAAGTAGTGACCTTGTAGGAAAAAGCATTGGTGGAAATAGACTGGTTAGCGCATAGAACTCGCTTTAACTGCGGAAACCTCATTGATCTCCCTGGAATACTTCCTGTAGATTTAATTCCTTGAATCCCCAACGATAATCAAACAAAAACTCCACAATATTCATTCTGTAGCCCACAACATTCATCCCTATGTAAGCAGATGACACCCAACTCTATCTCTCTGTCCCCACCCTCGAGCCCAGGACCACTGATGTCCTGACAGTCTGCCTGGCAGACACCAAGTCCTGGATGAGAGCCAACTTTCTATAGTTGAACGTCAGCAAGACCGAGGCTCGCCTGACTGGCTCGCGCCAGCGTCTCCACACCTCAGGAACTGGCGGCATCAGCATCTAAGGATGCACGCTCCACCTCAAGCTATTCATCAACCTAGGCGTCTTGTTCGACCCTCAACTGTCCTTTCTCCTCCACATTTGTGCCATGACCCGCTCTACATTCACCCACCTCTGCAACATTGCCCACTGCCTCACCCCTCAGGCCACCGAAACCCTCATACGTACCTTTGTTACAACCAGGCTCGACTATGCCAATGCCCTGCCCGTCAGCCTTCCCAACTCTTCCCTCCACAAGATGCAGATCATTCAGAAATCTGCAGCTTGTGTCCTCTCCCGTGAGGCTCCGTGACCCCATCACCCCCACCCTCGCCCGGCTCCACTGGCTCCCCATCCCTCAGAAGATCGAGTTCAAAATTCTCGTTGTCACCTTCAAGGCTCTCCATGGCCTTGCCCCCTCCTACCTCTCCGACCTGCTAATTCCTTAACAACACATCCGATCCTTCCGCTCAGCAGGCTCTGGCCTGCTCCATGTCCCATGCCCGCCCCGCCCCACCATCGACGGTCGGGTCTTCAGCTTCTCTGCCCCCACCCTCTGGAACTCTGTCTCACATTCCCTTCGCCTTGCTCCCTCCCTTGCCTCCTTCAAGGGGTTCCTCAAGACCTGTCTCTTCGACCGTGCCTTTGGCCACCCTCCCTGATCCCCAAACCCCTCCCTCTCTCCCTACCCACCCCATGCTGGCCCTAATCCCTGACTGTTCAGCGCCTTGGGATGTCCTCCCGACGTGAAAGGTGCTTTACAAATGTAATTTTGTATTGTATTCATCTCCACACTACTTTTCAAACCTTCCTTCTGCAGGCAACTCCCTTGCCCACCTTCACACTTCACTGCAACATGGAAACCACAGTTTTGTACAGTACTGTTAATCTGAAATTAGATATATACAGTATTTGGTATCTTTGGGTAGATCCATTGTTTTGTGAGAGGTTTAATACTTTAGCATAAACTACCTTTAGGAGTTTATCACCTTTATCCATCTTTTGACTGAGCTGTTAACTGTGTGTTCTTACTCTGTCCACTCACTCCCGTGTTATTTGAAATTTGAAAACTTTGAAAACTTGTTTCTTCTATTAACAATCTCCACATAAATTTATTCAAGGGCTATTGATGGGTCCTTTCTGTGTGCAACATGGCTGCTCTTAGATGTTATCCTACATGAAAGGTGCTATATAAATACAAGATGTTGATATTGCTGATATTGCCTCAGAAGACTCAGTGAGTGCTCTTGACAGCAATTAACTCTGAAGCGATTTGAGACATTTAAATTTGGTAAGTGCTGTATCTATAAAGTACAGTATTTAATTAATTATCTAGTTAACACATCTGCTGCACTTGATTCATCATCTGCAAATTAGTAAATAAGAAAGCAGATGTTTCTAAAATATGATGCATGTTACTGTCAAAGATAAATGAAAGGCAATAACAATTTTAAATTACAATTGTAATTAAATGATCTTGGTTCTGCTGATATCTATAACACACAGTCTGTATTTGTAATTGATTAATATCTCTTAGACCGTGTGTCAGCCTGGCTCAATGGTGCACTCTCGCCACTTGTGACAAGGTTGTGGGTTGAAGCTCCAAATTGAGACTTGGATCACATAGTCTAAGCTGACACTCCAATGCAGTGCTGGGGATGTGATTGTATTCTCGGGAGTGCCGTCCATCGGACGAGACATTAGGTCCTGTCAGTCTGTTCAGGTGTATGTTAAATATCCCATGGCACTATTCCAAAAGAGAATGGAGTTTCTCCCGGTGTTCTGCCCAACAAAATCCCCAAACAAAATTGGTCACTCACTCCATGGCTGTTTATGGGACACTGCAGTGCACAAACTGGCCACCTTTTGCCCGACTACACATTACAGTATATAATGTAGAGCACTTTGAGATGTCTTGATGACATAATTAAGCGCTATATTGAATGCAAGGATTATTATTATCATTACACAATTAGTTTGCCTTTAGAGCCGACTAGTAGTCTTTAACAACTAGTTCCCTTCAGCCTCTCAGCCCCGCGGCTCTGGAACTCCATCCCCCAGTGCCTTCGCCGCTTCCTCCCTTTCCTCCTTCAAGGCCGGTCTCAAGACCTTTCTCTTTGACCGAGCCTTCAGCTCCCCTTTCGACTCTCTACCCCCTCCTCGCTCCCTCCCTTCCCTCCCCTCACCCTGACCATTTCCCCCCAATGCTCGGGTCCCGACCCAACTATCCAGCGCCTTGGGACGTCCTCCCGATGTGAAAGGCGCTCTATAAATGAATCTTGTTGTTGTTGTTCTCTGACTCCACGTGGGTCTGAGAAGTCCCAACTCTTAAATGGTCTCTGCATACAAGAGATCTAACTAAGAAAAGATGTAGCGCAGTGGCGAGCCGGCCAGATGACATTCTGTGCATGCCTGGATGTCTTGATGGCATAGTGTACATATCATAGTGTCAAGACGTTAGTCCTTTTTGGAATTTTCTTAGTCAATTCACTTTACAGTATATTCCGTGAACGCTTTGAGACGTCTCACGACGTCAAATGCAAGAATTATTATTAAGCACTCTGGGATGCTACCCTGCGCGAGAGCACTATATAAATACAAATTGTTCTTTTTATTATAATATTATTCTCCAAATCAAAGCAGAATTAAAAGAGCAAAATCGCCTTCTAGTCAGATATATCTCCCAGCTTCTGCAAAAGTTATCTGTTTCATGCAGAAAACTTTTAAACTCAAAACTCTTGACATTAACAAGATACTTACACGGTAATATCCATGCATTAAATGGAATGTCATTTCCCTCCAAAAATCTGCCAGAGACTGTAGAGAAATAGTGGATCAATTTTTCCCAGCGGCTTTCCAGACTCGAGAAACTACAGTATAAAAGGACTATTACATAATTGTTCAATTGAACTGCCGCCTTCTAACTCCTGCCAGACATTCATTGTCTTATTTGTGGTGCTCGTCCTGAGCTTTTTGTTTGCATAACTGCGGTTACGTTCCTTTATCCGTTCTGTAGTAGACTTTGCTGCTGAGCCTGCTTCTTCTTTTGAACTGACTGATTCCTCTGCCTGGAAAACCGAGTTTAAAAATATTTAAGGTTAAAAACGTGGATTGAATTGTTTTACAGGATAAATCTAAAACATTGAGATGTAAAATATTCTATAACTTAACCTTGTGCAGAATTATACAGCCCATTACGTCTCTGGATATGTTCTTCCTTTACGTCTAGCTTTTCAAATAGTTTTGATCAGGAAGAGATATTGCAAGACATTGATTCCTGGTATCATTGATTCATTTTGACTTGCAGTTTCAACCAAGCTGATAAAATGAGCAGAGCCTAATTAAATATACAGTGGATGGGTTCTCCAGTGTTTCTTGCAATGAAGTAAACAAATGCACTAACATTATTGATGATAATGGGATTGTAGTTGTGCCCGATTGAATTTATTGAATTTGATATAAGGAAAGGCTTGACAAACTGGGACCTTTTTCTTTGAAGCTCAGAAAACTGAGAGGGGATATGATCGAGATATATAAGATGATGAAGTTTCCGGTGGTCAGGGGGTCTAGAACTAGAGGCTGCAATTTTAAATTCAGAACTCGGAGGTCCAACACAGAGAAAGGAAAACCTTTTTCACACCGAGAGTGGTAAGACTACGGAATTCTCCTCCACGGTCAGTTGTTTGGATGGCAACCATATACACATTCAAAAAAAGACTGGACACAAGGCTCAGAGAGAATAAAGTTGAGGGATATGGGGAAAAAGCCAGGATATTGGGATTAGGGATAGTTTCTAGGATAGGCATCAGGTGGAGTGTAAACATCAGCCAGGCTGGATGGACCGAATGGCCAGTTGATTCTATGAATCTATACATTCTATGAATCTACATCGCTTCTTATTTCCCAAACTAATAAAATATGCATTTTAAGCTTGTTTTTTTTTACCCAGTGATCATCACTGGAACATATAACATCACCAGATTGAAATGAACTTTTTATGACTAATTTATCTATTGAAGTCGCTCTGTAAAATTATGCTGTGCAATTATTTTAGTTTTTTTAAATTTTCCATCCCTTACCTTTCCCAGAAGGACCATGACTACGCAGGTGACTTTAGAAGATGCCCTCTCCAATGTGGAGTTGTTGGAAGACCTCCCATTGCCTGATCAACAACCTTGCATTGAACCTCCTCCTTCATCATTATTATACCAGGTTAGAGGGCTGTGAAATACATGCATAAAGTGGACACCATTTAAGCCGGACGCTGGTTAATCGGAAAAACACCCAGCCCGATTCGTTTGTATTCTCAGCTATTTTAAATATGCCAGTGAACCCCGCAGAAAATTCTGTGTTAGTTGCTGCTGCGCCTACTCACTCGCCACGAACGGCTTTGGGATGGAGATGATAGAGTCAAATTGTGATTGATTGACAGTGGACTCCAGCCATTCACAAGCGGCTCTGGGCTGTCAATCAGTGAGGGGGGGGCAGAGGATGCCCATCCATTCACAAGCACCTCCAGGCTGTCAGTGACCTTGGAGCTCCAGCTAATTGGTTCCCCTTCCCGTCCGATGGGGGCGACAATGGGAGGGAGAATACGCAGCCACCGCTCCTCTGCTGGGTGGGAAGATCTTCGGTTAACCTCGGACGCTGCTTAAACTGGACAAAATTGCCGGCACTGCTGTGTCTGGTTTAAAAGGTTTCCACTGCATAGTCAAACGAGGAGGAAGAGGTGACTGTGAATGCAGAGAGGGCAGTGAAGACGACAGCAGGCTACAAAAAATGTTTTCACCTTTGGGATTAGTGTTCAGCTTGTTTAGGGAAAGAAATGAATATTTTTTAAAATCCAGGATGATCTTTTTCCAAGTATAATTTATTTCAAGTTATAGAATAAACTCATTTTCTTCCTTCTCTTTAGCCAAACTTCAATACTAACTTTGAAGACCGAAATGCCTTTGTTACGGGCATTGCAAGGTATATTGAACAAGCAACAGTTCATTCTAGCATGGTAAGTTAGTCTTAGATACAAAGTTTATGTTTTACTTATATTTACACCAATTCCTGATGAGATATGGCTCTTTGGGCAGCGGTACTTTATCCAAGTTTCCATTGATCATTGAGTAATTGTCAGAAGTCTAATTGACTGTGGAAGGTATTACATCTGAGCTGTATCCTCTCTTCTCCAAAGTGTGCATATGTGTGTTTTGGAGCAGGAGCCACTGGAGTGCCAAACTCATGTTGGGTTTTAAAACCCATGTAATCTAAGAAGACACTCTAATGCAGTGCTGGGTGTACTGCATTGTCAGAGATGTGTCCTTTGGATGAGAAACGAAACTGAGGTCCCATCTGCCTGTTGATGTTACAGCACTGTTCAAAAAGAGAAGGTAGTTTCTCCTGGTGCCCAGCCAATAATAACTCCCCAAACAAAATTGGTATTTAATTCTTTATGGGACATTGATGTTTGCATATTGGCTGCTGAATTTGCCCACAAAATACACAATGACACCACTTTGCAGTATGTCCTGCGAAGCTCTTTGAGACGTCTCGATGATGTGATAAGGTGCTGTATCAACTGCAAGGATTATTAGTAACTGGTGCTGTTTTATTGTGTTGGTAATTGCTGCCGAACAAGTGGCAAGTAACACATTTCTAGTGCTTAAAGCTAACTTTATTATTTTTTTTTAAAAATGACCTCTAAATTAGTATCTTTTATATTTGGCTCAGAATATGATTTACTTTGCAACATTTAACTTTTCAAATCTTGCTTTCTAATTTCAGAATGAAATGCTAGAGGAGGGTCAAGAGTATGCTGTAATGCTGTACACTTGGAGAAGCTGTTCACGAGCTATTCCTCAGGTATTGGCAAACTATAGCCAAAAGTAAAGGAAATCCAATATTCTCAACCCTGTTGAACGTTTCCTTTATTTTTATATGTATCTTTTTGTGCCCAACTCCCGTGATACTGATTGAGGATGAGAGAAACAGACATCTGAGCACCTAATTATCAACTTGCTGACTTATTGACTGAGAAATTTAATTATTTTAAACAATCTAAGTTATTTTCTTTTTAGTATTACAGAATACCACACAATAATTATTCCAGCAGTCTCTTCAGAAGTGTATGTTAAACAAAAACTAAATTTGCTGCTTGTTGGGTTTGAGCCTCCTTTTCTCTTTTAAAAAGTGCATGATTTTACAGATTTATTTTGCAGAAATTGGTTGTGTTGGTTTCAAGTTTTAGTTTGCAAAATAAAGATATTCTGTCTTGGTCTCTTTCGCAGGTGAAATGCAATGAACAACCCAACAGAGTGGAAATTTACGAGAAGACTGTTGAAGTCCTTGAGCCCGAGGTCACAAAACTCATGAACTTTATGTATTTCCAGGTAAGGAATGTGTGTGACTTCAGTTTGATGGAAAGCGCATTCAGTTGTTTCTGTGCTCTTTGTAAAAAAAATATTTTTCAACCCAGATACTATCCACATATATATATATACAGTCAATTCACTTTACAGTGTATTCTGTGAAGCGCTTTGAGAAGTCTAGAATACGTGAAAAGCGCCATATGCAAGGTTTATAATTAATATTATTTTCCTTTATAGCTATTCTTGTGGGTTAAACTACTCGTGAAGTAATTTTAAAATGAGTTCTATGAATCTACATTGTGCTATGTGAAATTCCATAGCAGTGTTACATGCTACATACAAATCAATTTTTAAAGCCCATGATGCAAACATCATCTTGAAAGTATTACCTATCAATTTATGCGTCAAGATGTACAAATAAATCATTGTTTAGGAAACTACTTTGTATCTGACTGGAATCAGGACTATTAGAACACTGAGCTCAGGAGTTCGCGTTGCAAATTTAGCAAAATCTTTTACCTTCCAAAAATCAAAAATGATTCTAAACTGAAGTCACTTATATTTGCTTTGACTCGCACATCTGCTAGAATGGAAGAACACATTTTAATGTAAATATTGATTTTAGTCAGCCTGTGTTAGCCTGTCTTAGTTGGTAGCTCTCTGGTCTCAGAGTCAGAACAGTAGGGATCCAAGCCCCACATTTGGATTATGAATTCAGCCTGGGCACCGCATTATTGGGGATGTTGTCGTTTGGATGAGGCATTGAACCAAGATCCTGTCTGCCTGTTTAGGTGGATGTTAAATATCCCAACTTTTTCATAAAACTGGAGTGTGCAATTGGCTGCTGCATTTCTCCCACAAAATATACAGTCAATTCACTTTAATGTATATTCTGTGAAGCGTTTTGAGATGTTTCGAAGACATGATAAGGCGCTGTCTCAAATGCAAGGATTATATAAAGAGAGAGGAGTTTCTCTCGGTGTCCTGGTCAACATTCCTCCAGATAATACAGGTCATAGACTTCATGGCTGTTTGTAGGATGTGCGCAAATTGGCTTTCATGTTCACCTCCAAATATAGTCACTACATTTCATAGTAAAATTCTGTGAAACACTTTGAGATGTTTCAACAATGTGATAATACGCTATATCAAATGCAAGCATTATTATTACATGTTTTTTTTCGTGTAAATGCTCTTTACTCACCTTAAAACTTTGTTTTTCCTGTGCCAACAGCGCAATGCCATTGAGCGGTTTTGTAACGAGGTTAAGAGGCTTTGTCATGCAGAGAGGAGGAAAGACTTTGTTTCTGAAGCTTATCTTCTCACACTGGGCAAGTTCATCAATATGTTTGCTGTGCTGGATGAGTTGAAGAACATGAAATGCAGTGTGAAAAATGACCACTCTGCATACAAAAGGTGAGATGATTTTGTTGTAAATATTTTCCTCAAATCATAAGGATGCCCAGCCCCTGAAATTTATATACATCTTTGTTTTACTGATCAAGGACAATATATTACTTGGCTGCAGTTTGTTGAACCTACAATTTTTGGCATACATGATAGAAGAATGACTGCTTAAGAGGAAGGATTGTGCCACTTTAATGAGAAGAGCTACCAGCAATACAGTCTATTGACTATACTGTTCGATCCATCCAAGTTTTTTTTGTAGTTCTTAAGAAAATTTGTGTATGTATTTTGATCAGCCATGTGTCTGACACAAGTGGACACACATTACCATGCTTAAGAGTATCCAACCAAATTGAGAATTCCATGCAAAAGGAAAAGTACTGCAGATGCTGGAAATCTGAATTAAAAACATAAGTCGCTGGGAACACTCAGCAGGTCAGGCAGCATCTATGGAGAGAAGAAAGGTTATCGACTTGAAACATTTGACCAAAGGTCATCGACCCAAAACGGGTGGAATCTATTATGTATTTCTGACTGTCAGTCTTGTAGGGATGTTGATGCTTATATCCTTGTTTTGTGGGATTTATTTACAGTACTGTTAATTTCCCCATTATTTTGTTTGTGTCATTGACTGTTGGTCGCTCTTAAAGTTGGTGGGCACACAAGAGGTTAGAGTCGTCTTTTCATACCTCAGACTCAACTCCTTTCTATTTCCCGTTAAAGTGTTTTGTTTTTCTTTTGGTCTACCAGATGTCTGGCACCATGCTTAAGAGCGTCCAAACAAACAACTACACGTGCAAATTTCCCTGAACTACCTGCTAAGCTTCTGCTGCTTGTCCAGCTAGAAACACTCTTCCTGTTAGGTCTTTGGTTCAAAGGGTTAACCGCAGCTTAAAGGGAAGAACACCTTCCCCCGTTGATCCAGTTTGCCCCTCCGAATCCTGCCCATGAGCCTGGCGGGCTGGTCTGTCATTAGCAGTGTCTGAGACCCACTTGGTTTAGGACCCAGACTATGGAGACCACCACAGAGAATTGACTCGATTCCGACATTCCATTGCAGAGCATATCACCTTACGCAGCTCAGCTCCTAGCAGAACTAACTTACCTAGCCACCCCCAGAAGGACAGTAACTAAGTTGGTCATTTGATATCTCCCAAGCACAAATATGAGCTCTTCTGTGAAAAGGATAGCAGTAGACAAATACCTGTTAAGTTGTATGAAGTAATGCTCTAAATAACCAGTGAATATAAATAATCCTTGCATTTGATATAGGCATAACTGTCATAAACATAAAGTGTATTATCAAGATGTTGGTATGAGTAGCACCAAATGGGTGTCTGGCTGTCAGGCTTCTGATGTGTGTCATTTTAGTACTTTATAGTATCAAACACAGAAATATGAAATAACATTCATGTTCAATACGATTGTAGTTCCTTGTGAAGTGAACGGTAATGACCTTGTGGTGATTAACCTTTTCACTGGAAATCGTTTCGTTTTAGAGCGGCTCAGTTTCTGAGAAAGATGTCTGACCCACAGTCCATACAGGAGTCTCAAAATCTCTCCATGTTTCTGGCTAATCACAACAAAATCACTCAGGTGAGTAAGCATGTTGCAGGTGAGAAGTTTTCGATGAGACTTTTGTTTTTATTGTGGCCTGCTTAAGAGTTGGAAGCTGAGGTCCATGTCGGTTTTTGATCTGTTGTCTGCCGAATATACGAGTCATTTGAAGCTATTGAATAGTTTGCGGTCTTGCCTGGGTTTTCTTTAAGCAAAAGAAAATACTAGCGTTGTTGTTCTCCAATGTAGTTGTTCTATGTATACATCTAACAATCTGGCTAACACAGTACTGCGTGCAGCTGCTAGAGCTAGTAGAATGGAGAGAAACTGATCGTCTTGGTAGATTTCACTTACTTAGTGTTTGACGATTGTTTTAAATCACACAACATTAGTTTTGTATAACTCATCAATCCTCAGTGTTGAAAATATTAGAAATGTTGCTGTTTTACGATCACCAGTTTTTGAGCTTCTTATATTTGCTATCTATCATATAATGTTTACAGATCAGCTGTTCCCCTAAATCTTTTAATAGTTGTCCACCAGTTTATCCATTTACTTTTTAAACGCTATGATAGTTCAGCAGCAGCATTTTATTTAGCAGAAGACATAGCGCAGCAGATTATAAAGACCGAATGAGCAGTAAACATTTTTAAGAGCTATACATTGATAAATGGCATGCAGTTGCTATTCTGAAGGATTGAAAATCACCTTTTATGATATTCCTCAGTAGTAAAGGACCTGAATGGTGCAGTGAACTGAGAATACCCTTAAATTTAATCTGCGGTAAATGCTGGGTTGTTCAATGTTAGCTTGAGCAGAGCAGGATCATTATAATTGACTAGGGAGTAAAAAAATCGGCCAGACCTCCCGCTTCTGATTGCATCTATAACTGCTGCTGAAAAGTGCGTGATTGTGGGCAAGAAGTAAAGACAGTATCGTATCTGGCTATATGCCTTGCAGTGAAATAAATGTTTTTTCCCCCTTGTATTTGATATATACATCATTGAGACATTTCAAAGCGTTTCACAGAATAGACTGTAAAGTGAATTGACTGTATATTTTGTGGGTGAAACGTGGCAGCCAATAGCGCACAGCAAATTCCCATAAACAGTTGTGAATTGAATTGACCAAATTATTATTATTGTCTAGATTCACATGAAAAGTGGGCTTTTGGGAGAGGAGCCAAAGGCTGCTGGGAAATAGTTTCCTGGCATGAGCCACAGCCTGGGCGGGGAGGCAGAATGTTTATTTAAAAAGACTACCATTCATAGTTTGGTGAATAACATTTTTCAAGCAAATTTACAGTGCTCCTCTTGATGAGCAGAATTATAGTGTTGTTAGTTATGTGCATAGAGGTTAATTGTAAATGTACTGCTGTCTTCCCAGACACTGCAGCAACAACTCGAAGTTATTCCGGGTTATGAGGAGCTACTTGCTGATATTGTGAATATAAGTGTGGATTACTATGAGAACCGAATGTACCTTACTCCTGGGGAGAAACACATGTTGCTCAAGGTATGTTTTTTTTATATAAAAAAGACATGGAATGGAAGGTATGTTCTTGATTGATGGTGTCGGTTGCTTGTTAGATTACAACAACTTACATTTACATCTCGGAGCGCTGAACGATAGCGGACTTTGACACCGAGAAGGGGACTATCAAAGTCGGTTTTCACTGATTTTTAAAATGCCCTGTTTTCTCCAGTAAAAATCAATTCAAGAACATCTGTATATTTGCCCCATTTTTTATCTTTACTGTACAGCCAATCTGACATTGATCTAGAGTGGTTAGATGTGGTTCCAGGTCCAGGAATGGATATAAATGGACTTGCTTTCAAATATACAGTAAAACTCGCATAAGTCTGGTCTGCATATATCATATAATCACCTAAGCTGTACATCTACCCGAGTTTATATTCTATGCAAATTTTTGCGTAACTTATATTTTGCATAAGTCATATTAAATGTACGGTCCCAACTGATATGACTTGTGTGAGGTTTACACCATCCAGGTTTGTATATTGGATTTGGGAAATGTTTGTTGTGTTGAAAAAACAATAAAAGGAAAGAGCTGGATTTTATTTTATTGGACAATTAAAATAATGTGGGATCCTCTTGCAGGTGATGGGGTTTGGACTGTACCTCATGGATGGAACTGTCAGCAACATATACAAACTGGATGCCAAGAAGCGAATTAACTTGAGCAGGATTGACAAATTTTTCAAGGTAGATCTTTGGTTGATTTTAATTTCAACTCTTCAGATTCTGTCTAATATTAGCTTGTCAAACTATACGTGTACAATGCAGGCCATTCAGCCTATTTACTCACGTGGTGGTTGACCGCCAAGAAGCCATCCATCCTAATCCCATTTTGCTGATTCTAACCCTGGTTGTGTTACTAGGTCCTCTAGGCTATGTTTCTCCACCAAAGGACTTCTCAGTTTCAACACACAACTGTAGTTGTGGTCTGAGGAACCAGTCCCTACTATTGGTGATGAGGCGCTATGTCAAATGACAGGATTACTAACTAGTAATCCTGTCATTTGACATAGCGCCTCATCACGTCGTTGAGCAAACGACAACACATTTACATTTGAACAGCATCTTTCATGTCGGGAGGACGTCCCAAGGCGCTGGACAGTCAGAAGTTTCAAAGCGCTTCATCGAATATATTGTGAAGTGGATTGACTGTGTGTTGTAGGTGAAACACGGAAGCCAAATGCACACAGCAATGTCCCACAAACAGTCTTAGATTGAGTCGTGAACTTACTCCAGACTAGTGGTGTTCTTATTTTGCCTCGAAAACAGCCGCTACTCTTGACAGTAGTTACCACAAAGCTCTTTGAGTTTCAATGTGAGAAGGTACTGTCAAAGAGCAGTTTATTTTTTCCTGAAGGGTATCTCCTGCAACCTAAACGAAAACCTGTGCTGTTATTTGAATGGTGGAAACACCTGTTTCTGCTGCCCCCTTCCTTCCTACGTCCATTGTCGATGGGTTGTTCCTGGATTGACCCAATAAAAACAAGTGCTGGTTTGTACCACAAGAGCGACCTCTTTTATATTTCCCACTGGCGCAAATGCTTTTAGACAGTATATTTTCTGAAGCACAGATGACACCTGTGGGCAGCATATAGGTAATGCAGCTGCCTGCAGACCTTTACAAATGATTTCCAACTGTACTGCCTAAATCACTTACTCTTTTAGCACATTTTATCAATATTTAATGTTTTGCTTGATGATCCTCGAGCTTGATATCAGGAGAGCTGTGCAAGTACTGATTCGTGCTGAAACCTGAATGCACAGAGGACGCTCACTTCAAAATTGAATGTGGATTGTATCCTATAAATGACTGCCACAGGCCCCACTGAGATTCTGAGTGGCAACTTCCATGAAGCAGATAGACAAAGTTCCATGCTGTTACATCTATTTGGTGCCTGGGCTGGTTCCATTCTAGGTCCTAGGTCCTATCTGCGTTTTGTCACTGAGGAGTGACTTTGCCAATTGAGTAGGATCCGCTGCGAGATTTGAGATTATGTCCAAGGAATGGCTTTTAAACACTTTTTTCTCTTGATGCAGCAATTGCAGGTAGTGCCCTTGTTTGGTGATATGCAGATTGAATTGGCCAGATACATTAAAACGAGTGCTCATTATGAAGAAAACAAATCAAGGTGAGTGCCTAATATACCAAATATACCAATTTACTGGGTACAGATCGATGTATTCAATTGATTAGTGAGAAAATGAAAGAAAATAGGACCAGAAATGTCTGTTTGATCAAGCAAACATTGATATTATCTGTTTTGGGTTCGCTGGGTGCCAGACACATACAGAAATCCATCTTGCTTAAGAGTCTCTAAAACAAACACTGAAAGTTCCACAGATATATTCTTTCTGTTTGTATGGTGTGGTGTAGCCCCAGAGACATACACCCAGTTATGTAATCTTGTTTATTTAGGTGCAGGTTAGCAAGAGCCATCTTCGGGGGTCCCAGAGTGTACATGAGTTTAACTAGCTAAAACATGTAACCTAGTATTGCTCAGCACCCTTAAGCATTCTACTGCTTATCCAGCCAGGACCACCCTCCCCTTTAGGGGTTTGGCTTGCAAGATTATCTGCAGCCGAGTAAAATTTCTAGCCCCCGGATAGCAGACCTGGTCTGCTAAGTCTATCTGATGAGCCAGCTTCTTAGTCCGTTATAAACAGTGCCTCGGAGGAACTTTGGATTTGTCTGGCTCAGGGACAAGACTGCTGAGACTCGCATAGGGGATTGACTTGTTCTGATCTTCCATTGGCAGATGTGATGGCCTCAGAGCCAACTCAGCCCTCACTTGTCTCTTCATTCCTCCAGCCCAGTATATCATGGACATAATAGAGCAAAAACCGTCTCTTCAGCGTTTTCTACTGTTTACAGTGCTGATGATGAATCGGCTGTATAGCAGTATTGCAGATTCGACCAGATTCCAGTCAATGCAACTAAAGCTACAAGAGCAATATTTAAAAGTATTTAATGTTTAAAACCCTCTGTCTAAAATATTGGTAGAAGATCAAATATTGATAGTAAATTTTTAGTGCATAGTCAGGGTGTTAGCTAATATCTTTGAATTAAGTTGAATTATCTCTGCTTGTTACTGTAGCTAAAACTGATCTATATTATTCTCTTCTGTTCCTCCTCCCAACCATAGCCCAATCATTTTTCGAATCAGTGTTCATTAACACATTGGATAGATTTAATTGGTTCAAGAAAAAAGGACTTATTGAAAATGATGAATGTTTATTACATATATATAAAACATGTTTGTTAGACATATGCCACATATGATTGAAATGTTGATTTGAGAGATGGAAGCATGTAGGTAAGTTCAGATTGGTTGGAAGGAAACATTTCCATTTAGGATTCCAACAACTGTTGTGCAAACAAGGATTCCAACCTATTTTTACCATTAAACTGACGATGTTCTTTGTCTTTCTGTGCCTGGTACAGGTGGACATGCACCTCGTCCGGCAGCAGCCCCCAGTACAATATCGTTGAGCAGATGATTCAGATCAGAGAGGACCACATGCGTTTCATCTCGGAGCTGGCCCGCTACAGCAACAGTGAGGTGTGTAAACTCCAATTCTTCATCATGTCACAAGATGACGTTCAGAAACAGACTCTTTTAGCAATAATTTCTCAGGGATGTACGGACATGATCAATAACTACAAAATGGGAAATAAAAGAGCCTATGCAAAAGGTTGTTTGGCAAACCAATCAATATGATCCTTGAGTAATTCAGAAAAGGTCAGTGAGAGCCATCTTGGGGATGATGATGAAAAGCCTGGTTTAGCTGGGATAATAATAAGGGAAAGGGCAAATAAAACAAAGTGAACTGATACTTCCCCAATTTTCTGTCAGGTCTGGCTTCCTTCAGACCATTGGTGGGCAAGTATGCAGATCCCTCAACCCGCACCCTCATCTCGGGTGCAAATCCTGGACTGTCCAACGCCTCGGGATGACCACAACAACTTGCATTTATACAGCATGTGGGGTAGCATCCTGGAGTGCCTCACACTGTGGAGTCTGAAAGCGAGCCAGGGGAAGAGGGATGTTGTGAAAAATACTATATAAATGTAAATTTGTATTGTGTTGACATAATCTGCAGTTTGTAGACTGATGGGGTAGATGGATAAGTTAGAAAGAGCTGAACTTATCTTGTTTTCTCCTACCCCGATAAGTACATTACAAAACCCTATTCTGTCACCTTCAAATGCAAGGATTATTATTATTATTCACTGTCAGGTTGAGTGTTCTTAACGTTTTGCAGATTTCTTGCCCTACAAATAGGCCTTTTTTTAAATAAAAAATAACTCATCAAATGTTTGTTGCAGGTGGTAACAGGATCTGGCCGACAAGAAGCTCAAAAAACTGATTCAGAATACCACAAGCTCTCTGAACTGGCGTTACAGGGACTTCAGCTCTTGTCCCAGTGGAGTGCACATGTTATGGAAGTGGTGAGTTCTCAGAAGAAATAAATGCTACACTAAAGGAATCTTTTCAACTTTGTTGTTTTGAAAGGAGCGCTGACGTCATTGTAAATGGTCTTTGGCATTTGTCTCGACATCCGTTTTGACAAAGCAAGTCTTTTTTTGCAATGATGCGCATTCAGAAAAAGTCTAGGATCCAAAGCAAAAAGTGGATTGCAGAGTTTGACAATAACATTTCTAGTAGAATTCACTAATTAGTTATCTATCCTTTCGAGATTGTCATCTGCTCTCACAAGCTCAATCCGTGCAAGTGCTTGGATGCCAGTGAAAACTTCCTTTCGAAAAAAATTGACCTTTGTTTCCCTAGAGTTCTGCCATTCTTCGACACAAAATACAATACAAAATAATAATAATAATAATAATAATCCTTGCATTTGATATAGAGCTTTTCACATCGGGAGGACGTCCCAAAGCGCTTTACAGAATATACTGTCAAGTGAATTGACTGTATATTTGTGGATAGTGCCTTTCATGTCGGGAGGACGTCCCAAGGTGCTATAGATTTTACTTAGACTCTGGTGAATTTATCAAAAGAGCTTTTCAGGCTTATTGGATATTAGTAGATACTAGTTATTAAGTTGGGTGCTTCAAATGCATTAGTTTCACACGAGTCCAGCCTATCGTGAGAGTAATTTAACTAAAACATCTTTTTAAACGATCATACATTCCAGCATGATGGGTTTCTTGCAATAGGTGGCTGTCAACAGAAGTTCAATATACTGTATTTGTTGATTATTTCTATCAGTTGCACGAGTTGATTCTTGTCTTTTTTTTAAATTCTGACAGTACTCGTGGAAGTTGGTGCACCCCACAGACAAGTACTCAAACAAAGACTGTCCGGATAATGCCGAAGAGTATGAGAGAGCCACGCGATACAACTATACCAGCGAGGAGAAGTTTGCACTTGTTGAGGTGGGGGTCGAACAGATGCGTTTGATTCTTCAAATTTACCTCTGATTTCAATGCTACTAGATGCTATCCGGCATGAAGGGCACTACATAAATGCACATTGTTGCTGTAATTTTGTGAAGTTTTGCATGTGAGATGCTATAGTTGATTTCTTATATGGTTTGATTTTAGTTGCTAGTGTTCTTTTCCCAATCCAGAAAGTTGTAGGTTCATTCAGTCTCACACATAAGCACTTGAGCTTCTATTTTATGTTGACCACCTAAGTGCTGTATTAAGAGAGGCAGATAAAATCATAAATCCAGAAAGTATTGGGAACAATAACATTTCTTCTAATTCTTACACACCTCCTCGCGCATATGTAATCTTTTCCTCCCTTCCTGGGGCTTTTGAGATCGGCCCTGAAATCTCAGTGTTAAAATAAATAGCAACAACCTGCATTTATATAGTGGCCCTCACGTAGGGTAGTGTCCCAGCGTGCTTGACAGTGGTGGACCAGGATGCCGAGCCGGGGGGAGGTGACCGTAGGTATAACCGAGCAGGAAGGTCTTAAGCTGCGAGTTGATGATGGGGAAGAAAGGGGCAAGGCGGAGGGATAGAGGAAGAGTGTTCCAGGGGTTTGTAAAGACAATAGATAGATCACTCTTGGTTTTGATATAAAGATGGAAGGGATACAATTTTATAAAATTACTGTGAAAGGTTGACAATGTAATGACATGTTGAAGCACCTGAAATATGGAAGTTTGTCAGTTGATCAAAATCTTTTTTTCCTCCAATATTTACGTAATTTGTTTTGCAAATATCTGCTGATTTAGTCCTTCATATTGACCTTTTTAAAGTTTGAGCTATTGAATTCCACAATATTCAGCAAAGTTGTGACTATTTACATTCAGGGGGCAGCTGCATACACATGTGAATACCAGCAACCTGTAGGATAATATCAACTAGGTTTTCATTATTCTTGAATTATTCTTGACTGAAAGGACCTGTGTGGCTTTTAAACCTTATTTTTAATATCATGATAAACTTGATGTTGCTGAAATGTACATTTTAAAATATGAGTTAGTCTCAAGCAGTGGATTATTTGGGCTGACACTGGAGTGATTAAGTTATCGCATTGGTTGAAACTCCATTGCTTGCTCAGAAACCTCATCTTGATTTTCTGTTCTCAATGTTATTGTGAATATTATTGCAGTCTATCTGACGGCAAAGAGCTCCAGGCTTTTCTTGCATTGTATTTTTGTAGTAGACCTGTCGTAACTTTAACTTTGCTAAAACAGTGAAAGCCAACTTCCCCCTCCCACATAAACCAGCTTTAGTCATTATTAGAACCATAGAAATTTAAAGGAAGATGAAAGATGCCTTTCTCCATTGACACTGGTCCTTCGAATGAGACATTAAACCTGTTCAGGTAGATGTTAAAGATGCCATGGCACTGCTCAAAAAAACAAAGAACTTTCTCCTCGTGTACTGACTGACATGCCCCAAATAAAATTCATCATTTGTTTCATGACTGTTTGGGGACATTGCTGTGTAAATTGGGCTGCTGGGTTTGCCTACAAATACAGTTACTGCACTTCACAATAAATCCTGCGAAGCCCTTTGGGACATCCTCCAAGCGTGAAAGGCGCTATACCAAATGCAAGGATTTTTTCTCTTTTTGCTCCCTGGCTTTCTCTTATTTTTCCTATATCACTTGATTCTGCCTCCGCCCATGCTTCCTTTCCTCTTTGCTTCACCTTGTATTTCCTTTCCCCAGCCATTTTATTTTTAACCCTTCCTCACAGCACAATAATGCAAGGATTATATTATTATTATTACTTAAAAAGTAGCTATTATTTCAGCAATAATAATAAATTTTGCATTTGATATAGCACCTTATCACGTCTTCGAGACGTCTCAAAGCGCTTCACAGAATATACTGTAAAGTTAATTGACTGTATATTTTGTGGGAGAAACGCGGCAGCCAATTGCGGACAGCAGTGTCCCACAAACAGTCATGGATTGAGTGATACTTTGGATAATAAACATCCAAAGTATCTTTACAAATCTATCACACCAGTGTTATGGTGCCAATTGACCAGGAAGTATTTTTGCAATAAGCTATTAAACTTTCCACCATTGTTTGGTGGGATTGTATTAATTGGCTGTGTTAATTGTCATGTCAAGCAATTGATGAACCATTTACTTCTGAAATTACTGTGTCAAGTCATTTCAAAACAATCTACAGGATGACAATAGGCAATCAGAAATGGATTCTGTACGTGTGCTCCATGTTGTATAGTCTCAACAGAATTCAGAAAACTGAATTAAGTTATGTTCTTCGACCCAAGATTGCTTCTTTCAAAATGTGCATTAAATATCTTGCTAACTAATGAAAAGTGCGCATCTGTTTCCATTGACTGCAATCTAATATTGTAGATTGTCTGTCAATTCTGTGCAAACGAACTAAGGGTCACACTTCGAATACAGCAGCTGCCTACATGAAACCAAGTCTTTATTAAGATGGTGGTAATGATTGAAATTGCCATTTAATCTGTTCTAAAAGGAAGATCCTTGAATTGATGCAGTGCACTCTGAAAAAAACAGCTTGATGAACAGCTGACTAATAGCAAGCTTTTAAAGGAGGCACCCAAGGTTCTTCAATGAGTTGAGAGCTGACATTAGTTGGCATATTTGTATTGTTTTGATCAAAGTTTGCCCAAATGTCTGAAATAAGTTTGCTGCAGTCTGCAAAAACGGAGGGAAGGAGCTGCTAGTGATTTTAGCACTTCTTCAAATTATCGATTGTAAAATAGTGTAATTTTTAAATTTACATAGCACTCCTAGAATTGAAGGCCAAGTGTAAAGTGGTTTAAAATTAACATTTTGTTTCCTGTCCCTGACACTGTTATAAGTAACTTTGTACTGGTGTTAAATGAAAAGTCTACTTCCTGACAAAATTGAAATGGAGTTCTAAACTAGACTTCAATGTAACTGCTTTCTGCTGCAGGTGATTGCCATGATAAAAGGTCTACAGGTGCTGATGGGTAGAATGGAGACGGTTTTCAACTATGCTATTCGACACACGATTTACGCTGCACTCCAGGACTTTGCCCAGATTACACTCCGTGAGCCTCTGCGTCAAGCCATCAAAAAGAAGAAAAATGTGATTCAGAGGTTAGTCTAAGCCCCACTTTTATTCTGCCATGAGTTCGTTTTATTTAAAGCTTCTAAGTTTGAACACAAAATTTGGAATGTTTTGTTCGAGAAGAAACAGGCTGGCTAATAAGTTTGCCACTGAATGTAGAAATAGAGAAAGGAAAGGAAAATCTGGGACACCAGCACTACTTCTTGATCTTAAGATAATTGTCTTACAGTGTCATGATTATGCAGAATATTGGAAACAACCTTAAATTCAGTCTTAGCGTCAGGAGGACATCCCAAGGCGGTGGACAGTCAGGGATTTGGATCCGAGCTGGGGGTTGGGATCAGGAGGGGTGGAGGGCAGGGAGTTTAGGGGTAGGCGGGTGACCGAATGCAAGGATGAAGAGGGCCTTGAGAAGGAGACAACGCGAAGGGACCGTGGGATGGAGTTCAAAAAGGGTGGGAGCAGCTGATGGTGGGGTGGGCATGGCAAGGGAGCAGATCGGAGTCCGCTGAACGGAGAGGTCTGTAAGGAGTTAGCAGGTTGCAGATGCAAGGCTGAGAAGGGCTTTGAAGGCAATGACTCTATCCTCTGAAGGATGGGGTACCAGTAGGATTAGTTTAATGATTAGTTAGCCAGTGGATAGAGTCACGTACATCCTCGTCTGGCTCCACTGGTTTCCCCAGAATGTGTGTGTAGTCTTACACTTGCTAATTTCCAGATATCAGCCAGGGAAAAAATAGAAAATGTTCTCTCACCTCTTCCTCTTGATGCAATATAGGGTGATATTGATAGAAGTCTGGAGCGGATCTCACTATTGGGCAGGATTGACGAGTGCCTGAGAGAGAACAAGTGAGGAGAGAAAACACAAAATGAATCTATGGAAGAAATTGTACAGAAGCTGGTTTTGTTAACCCTTCTCAGGCTGCGAAAGAAAAATAGAATGATAGAATCAGCACAGAATAGGTTACAGGCTGCAACAGAATCAAATTGATTGGATGAACTCATAAAATGAATGAATGAACGAACGCCCCCAAATTATCTAAATACTGGGCTGATCTTTGAGTTTTAACTTATTATTTGAAAGTATTGTACAAAAAAACTCTCTCTTGGTTTTGTGTTGTACCCTCTTGCTGTTGCTATTGCTGTATTCTTCTGCGGATAGTGGGATGTTTGGGTGAATCATTAGGTTAGCACACTAACCCTACACTTTGGGATTCATAATCGCCTGCTCTTTTAGTCGTTGATGTTCTTGTTAGTTGTCTTCTCAAGTGGATTACAAGGGTAATAAATGAAATGATTTGGATAGTCTCCATCTAATCGTTGTCTGTGTTGATTCACAGTAACATGGGCCCAAAGTTAGCCACGTATTGACAGTCTCATTCAAGAAGATGTAGGGGGTTTCTTATGGATGGTTGGAGGGGAAAATAGGGAGGATAAATAATATTCCAGTCTATTGGGTTGCTTTTCTGAAGGTGGGGCTTTACTTCTCTGATATGGTCTGCCTTTGCTTGATATTAACACCAGTGAATGGTGTTCCATTGCTTTACTCTAATATCTCTTAACTTATCAACAGATATGGACACCAATGAAAGGAGTGAGTGCTGGAAGTGAGCTGCGCGTTGACTAGTTTCTGAAAGAGAAAGATAGGCTAATGTTTCAGGTCAACACTTGAATAGCAGGTTATGCAGAGATTTAAAGAAACTCAAAGGGGGCGAAGATGTAAGAAATATTAAAACATTTCAGTGCAGGAATCCCGTTCCTTTGCACGACACAGAAAATCAAGAACCGGCTGTGGTAATTCAAATTGCTGAGCATTGGATGCTGGGGTTGAGGGGAAGGTGGAGGGTGGGCTGCAGTGGTTTGAAGTACTTTTTTCAAGGCACCTAAAGTGTGGTTCAGAAGGTAATGATTGTATGGAAGATAGGTTGTGAGCTGTTCGGTAATACTGAAGTTTAAAGCGTTTCACAAAACCCAAAATGTGATTTAGGGTGCGATGGGTAGTATTGAATGTAATTAAAAACTGATTTTCTGAATTGTAAATGTCAGGGACAATGATTAGGCCATTGATTACTGAAATGCTATTCTTCATGACTTGGTGTGAGGCATTGATTTCCCCTTAACACTGTGTTGTCTGGAAGCCTAGTGAAAAGCTTCATTATTCGATCCTGCGTTACTTAGTGTCATGTCCTTCGTTCGTAAATGCAGGTAGTTGTTCAGAAACAAGGCCAGGATGATTTTTCTTTACAATTGTAACAGGCTTTGTTTATATTGCTACAATTGTTGTTCTTGAAGGTTATTCTTTGAATATTCTGCTAAATTACAGGAATATGACTGATTCAGGCCTTCGAGCAAATTTGCTTGAAAGTAGTGAGCTCCACAGAGTCCTTTCCCCCACCAGGCTCCACTTTCCCATCCCCCAGCAGAACGAGTGCAAGTGTGCAAGTACCTAACCTTTAAAAGCCTCCATAGTCTTGCCCCAAACTACCTCTGCGCCCTCATCACGCTCTACAACCCAGCCGCTCCCTCCACTTCACAACCCCCACGCCAACCATTCAGTGTATTTGCTCCCACTCTCTGGAACTCCATCCTGGTGTCCCTTTGACTTGTCCCTTCCCTCACCTACTTCAAGGTCTGCCTCAGAACCTTCCTCTTTAATTGCGGATTCGGCCATCCTTCCCCCTAGCAACATGTCGACTTACATGAATGCATTTTTCTAAATTTTACATCCTCTTTCTAGTGCAACTTGCGTCACCCTACCTCTGTGACCTCCTGAAACCCCACCAACTCGCCTGCTGCCTTTGCTCGGCAGGCACCAGCCTACTTCATGTCCCCTGACGTAGAGACGGGCCTTTCTGCTCTAACTTTCTGGAACTCCATCTTGGAGTTCCTACCAACTTCCAAATGTGTGGGTTCTGTGCCTCTGAGTACACGAAAACACACAACTTGTGCAGTCTGCAGGGGAAATAAAGCTTGCGTTTTTTTTTGCATCCCTCATTCTCATTTCTACTTCGCCAAATTACTTCTCTCCATACTCTGTGGTCTCTGCTGTATGTGCATGTGTACACTAGCAAAAATAAAGACATACCATATCTCTTTGTCCTGTCAACTAGTGTACTCCAAGCCATCAGGAAGACTGTCTGTGATTGGGAAGTTGGTCAGGAACCAGTGAACGACCCAGCACTCCGTGGGGAGAAAGATCCGAGAGGTGGCTTCGATATTAAAGTTCCTCGTCGGGCAGTTGGGCCATCCAGTACTCAGGTGTTTCCTTCATACCATTCTCTTGATTGTCACGATTTGAAGAAAAAGGTTTTGAGTTTGATAGACAAAAATAGGGATTGAAGATCAAGTTCCGAGTGACTTTCCGAGTGACTTCTATTTGAATTGTTGTTCTTAATACCTCTCTTAATTTTTCTCTTTGTAGCATTTATAATAAATAATAAGACCCTTGCATTTGATATAGTGCTTTTCACGTCTTCTAAACGTCTCAACAACAACTTGGGTTTATGTAGCACTCTCCACGCCGGACGGCGTCTCAGAGTGCTTCATAGGATATACTGTAAATCGAATTGACTGTATATTTCTGGGAGAAACATGACAGCCAGTGTCATAGCAGTGTCCCACAAACAGTCATGAATTGAAGTGACCGATTTATTATTTTTTTTCTTGAAGTATCATTATCAGGTGCAATGGAGTAAGGAAACTTTGCCTAAGGTTTTGCCCTATCGGGAATCGAACTCGGGTCTCTTGCTTGTGAGGCGAGTGCTCTAACCACTGAGCAACAGGACTCGACTAGTCCTGTGTAGTAGTAGTTCCCCAAAAAATATACAGTCAATTCACTTTACAGTATATTATGTGAAGTGCTTTGGGATGTCCTCCTGACGTGAAAATCGCTATATCAAATGCAAGGATTATTATTATTATATCAAATGCAAGGATTATTATTATTATATCAAATGCAAGGATTATTATTATTATATCAAATGCAAGGATTATTATTATTATATCAAATGCAAGGATTATTATTATTATATCAAATGCAAGGATTATTATTTATTATTATTTAATGATTGTTGGAATAGCCTGATATGAAATGAAAAGATCCCAATTTTAAAAACTTAGCTCCCTTTTTTTAAGTCTCTGTTCATATTTGATCTATGGTATTTTTCTTGAAGTTTATGGGGGAAAACAACTGATGCTTGAACTGAATTGTTTTAGAGCACATTAATAATAATAATCCTTGCATTTGATATACCACCTTATCACATCGTTGAGATGTTGCAAAACGCTTCACAGGATAAACTGTAGAGTGTAGCTGGTAAATAGCAATAAATTAGACATTCACTTCATGATTATTTGTGCAACGTTGCTGTGTACAAATTAGTTTGCCAAATTAATTTGCCTTTCTCCACTCTACAGCAATTAGAGGAATTGTAATCCCTTCAAAATAATAATAATAATTTGGTCACTTAATCCATGACTGTTTGTAAGACACTGATGTGCGCTATTGGCTGCCCACAAAATTATTATTAATTACCTGTGAAGCACTTGAGGTGTTATATCAAATATATGGACTGCTATTTATTAAACTGTGATGCCAAATGATCTGCCTTGGAAAGCATTTAAGGGAAATGAAGCTTCCTAAAATAATGATGCATTATTTTTCATGTCTGGTACTACTTCCTAATGTCTGAGTCTTAACTTGTGAACCTTTATTAACAAGGGATTTTATTCAACATAAATAATACAGATATTTATATTTGTGCTTCATATACCACCACGAGACACACAATAATATTTAGTTTATCATGAAATACCTCAATGTTATATTGCTTCTCATTTCCTTCTCTTGCTTGTGAAGGAGAATGATTGTTTTAGTTGAGAGTTGGTTCCAGGGGCAAATGCTTCATAATTTAAGCAATCAATATGCTGTTGCATCATTTAAATAGCTATTAATTTCTTCCACAACCTCCATTTCCTTTTTTTCATGGCTCCATTATTGTGCTAAAAGTATATAGAATCCTTTAACAAAAATAACTGTACTGGTATGTCACATTACGGACTAGTGTTGTGTACTTTGCATGTCACAATTTAACCCGAGTGTGTGCTTCTGCGTGGCTTGCATGCGTTTTGTATGCCTGGCTCAAAGGTTTTTCAGCGATCTTGTATCGGTTGTATCGTTCCTTTCAAGTTTCCATCTGGTCACTATTTCCTAGCCAGCTGCCAACACCAGAAGTTTAAACGCACAGTATGGTTTGCTTGGCTCTGTTGAAAACATGAAAAGATGTTCCCTGTTCAGTGATTCCTTTTAATCTATCATTAACCTAATAATGTTATTAATATTATAACCACTTCAGCAAACTCAAGCTTGTTTGCTGTCTGTCTTGTTTTGGGAAAGGCTTGTACAAAATGGAGCGATAACTATTGTCTTTAATAAGGATCACTTACTCATCGCCTTTCTTTTCCCTCCTCCCAACCCCCATCTAACAAGGGATAGTGTGCTTTTAAGTGTAGTGTTATTGTAGCGTTGCTTGATACAATAACACAGTGAAATATTAGAGTACTAACCTATTAACTGATTTCTTTTCTGTGACTGACCAAACTGTTAACCAAACTCACTCTTTTTGCTTTTCTCCCTAACCCTTAATGTCTGCCCTTGCCTGTCTACTGGTGTAGCTGTACATGGTGCGCACTATGGCAGAGTCATTGCAATGTGGAGAGCTAGCCAAGCAGTTAAAATCTCTGGGACTGGAAAAAACATTGGTTGAGATGAAAAGGTTTCAGAGGCGGTCGTACATCTATCCGACCATTTTAAATTTTGGTGGTAAGAAGCGAACCTTTTTCTTTTGATGCTGAAAGGAAGTCAAGTTGTTTCACCTTCTAAAAGATTGTGCTCAATTTTCTGGCTCTCTAATTGACTTTTTGACAGTGTATTCCAAATTTCTAAAGGATAGAGAGATTAAGGGTTATGGGGATAGGGCGGGTAAATGGAATTAGATTAGAAGATCAGCCATGATCAGATGTCAGACTGGAATGACTAGTTACTTAATTAAAATTTTTTTAAAAAATGTTTTAACATGGGGGAGGGTTTGTGGCTGCAGTGTTATTTGAATGATTCGGGGGAGAGATCACCTTCTGATGGTGGGACAGTTCGACTTCCTAATATTTATTTAATGTACTGTAAACTAACATGCCCTTTACATTCTTTTTCTCCCTTTTTTTTGTTTTACCTTTTTCGACTGGCATAGCTCTACATGGTAAGAACTATGCTAGAGTCGCTCATTGCTGACAAAAGTGGTGCAAAGAAAACCTTGAGAAGTAGTCTTGAGGGCCCCACCATTTTGGCGATAGAAGAGTTTCACCGGCACTCATTCTTCTACACTCACTTGCTCAATTTCAGTGGTAAGATATCTCTTCCACAGGACACCGTGGAGGGGGAGGAGGGAGGAACTGATTGCTGCGGTGTCACGCTTGTAACTTGACTTTGTGTTGGAAACGTTCTTCATTCAAAACGTGTTTTATTTTAAATGATAATGGATCACAAATAGGGAATTAAAAAGGGGTGAAAAGAAGCAGGTTCAAGTATGGGCATAGTGTTATGTTACACATCTTGTTTTCAGTAATCTAGCACATGTGGGGGAAAAAAAAGTGATGTATATTGCAATTTGAAAAGAAATTAGTTCAGCTAAAAATAATTCTACTTGGTGAGTTGTGCAGCCTGTGGTATAAATGGGTTGTCTGGATTTCACGATAAACCTTTATCTGGTGTTACTGGAGCAGAGTGTAGCTCCTACTGATCATCCAAGTATCCTAGTTTAAAAATATTAATGTTCCCTATTAATATGAAATACATAGGCAAGGCTGAGAAAAGTTATACATTAAATGTTAGTTACTGTAAGTACAAAGTAGAGTATCAACACATCAATAAGATCCCCTTCTCTCCGTTAAAAAACAGATAGTTAATGGAGGCAAAGTGCATATTGATGGATTTTGCTTTAACGTGTACTTACCCTATATTGATGTAGTCAGTTAATTAAACCCCATTCAAGTTCTGTAAATCAACTATAGCTTTCCCGTGGCTTGCACTGCAGTAACCCTGTGCAGTAGTCTCGTAATTACCTGACAATCTGCCACAGCAGATGTTGATATCTGCCGGCTACCTGCCAATCATCTGCTGCAGATCATGGAGATCTGCGCAGTTACCTAACTATTCTTTTTTTACCTGGAGTCCAGGACTGGGAGAGTACAAAAAGATATATGGAAGTATTTGCCTAATGGGTAGAAAAAATCTTGAATTACATAAACAGCATTTCAGATAGGTCACTCAATTCATTTTAACGTTGAGACGTTTCAATGACATGGTAAGGTGCTATATCAGATGCAGAGATTATTGTTATAATCAAATGCTATTTTCTTACCTACTCTGAAAGGCCCCAATGTATAGCAGTGTTAAGATGCTAGAATCTCTGTTTTTAAGCAAATTTTTCACAAAAGGATCTATAATCAAAGACCATGATCCACAGATATAAATTTATAGCAAATAGAAAAAAGCACAAATATTTTTAAGCCAGCAAAATCCATCTTGCTATTATAGTTGTTCATCAGATCATATTGTAAGATTGCCTGTTGAATAAATAAATGTTTTTTGTCATTTTATTATCAACTCTGCTGTTTGTGCATAAATAAAATATTTAAATAAGAATTACATAAAAAAACCTGTATATTAATATATCAAGTTCAGGTAATACATACATTTTTTAGAGTTGACTTCTGCTTTACTTTTAGCTTTTAAATAATACAGTTCAGACAGCACTTTGTGTGTGTGTGTGTGTGTGTGTGTGAGAGAAAGAGTATATTGGTACTGAATTATATTGTGTAATGATAATTTGATGTTGCATCTGACTTTTCTTAAGAAACCCTTCAGCAGTGCTGTGACCTCTCCCAGCTTTGGTTCAGAGAGTTCTTCCTGGAGTTGACAATGGGCAGAAGAATTCAGTTTCCTATTGATATGTCTATGCCCTGGATTTTAACTGACCATATTTTGGAGACCAAAGAAGCATCTATGATGGAGTACGTAAGGAATCCAGTAATTCCGTTGCACCTTCTCTCCTTGCCTTTAACAACCTCTCAAATATTTGTGTGTTTGACCATGTCAATACCCTCCAAATTGAGAAATACAGGAAACACTATTTCAGTGAGTGAGTGGTAAATCTATGGAACAGTCTCCCTTGGGAGACGGTAGAAGCAGAAAGTGTTGACTCATTCAATTAGATGGATTTCCTTTAGAAAATAATATTTGGGATACAGTATATGAGTAACCTGAGACATGACATATAGTAAGTGTGGTATGGCTTGGAAGAATCAGGCAACTTGGGATCTAAGGTTCCCAAAGCTTTCCACTGTGTTGAGGAATTCATACAGAATTAATTGCTATCAACATCTCTGTTATTGTAGCATGCGACTACCAGGATGGTAGAAGGCAAAGTAGATGGACCTTGGTCTTTTTTCGTCTAGCAGTTCCTGTGTTCCTAAATTGCTCTGTGAAAGCTATTGTGCTAAAATGCTGCATTACCTTCATCGCTTAAGAAAAGTACTATACAAGCGCAAGTTGTACATGCCTTACTGAAGTAATGCATGGTGTGTTTTCAGTAAAAATCAAGTGAAGTGGTTGAATCGCTGTTGTGATTGCTTTTCCAATAAAAGCCCTAAACTGCATGACTATATAACTTAAACTTTTAAATTTGAAGCTTTGCTTAGCCTTCAAAATAATAAAACATTTTTTTAAAAAATGTAATCGATACAAGTCTTTGAACCTACTATTAAAAAGATTTCTGCCATCACCAAGATCGTCAGTTCTGATTAAAAAGAGATGCCTGAATTATTAACCAATATTTTTGCTTTTGATGCCCTGCTGAGCCTTTGTTTTTTGGGCGATTGCAGCTATTTTTATGTCATGGAACAGGAGTAGGAGTTCAGGAATATAACAATTCCATTTTGATTTCTAGGTATGTATTGTATTCCCTGGACCTTTACAATGACAGCGCACATTATGCACTGACTAAATTCAAAAAGCAGTTTCTTTACGACGAAATTGAAGCCGAGGTAATTCACATTTTTAGTCCTTTAAATTGAGTTCTGTTATACTTTTAGCTCTTAAACAATACAGTTCAGCCTACACATTGCTTGCGTGTGTATATTCATACTGGATTTCATTTTTGTTTAATGTCTATTGTTAATTATTGGTACCTGTGTTCATTGTTTTTTTTAGGTGAATCTGTGCTTTGACCAGTTTGTGTACAAGTTGGCTGACCAAATATTTGCATACTACAAGATTATGGCAGGAAGGTATTCAATAGTTTATTAAGAATACTCTGAGCTTTTTAGTGCAACGGAGTTTCTATATTGTAATTCTATTTTGAAGACTACATTGTAAACTACATTGTAAGTCTAAAGGAATTGGATAGATTTTTCCTGGACAGACTACACTGGCTCCCTATCACTGAATGGATCGATATCAGGATTCTTGCACCCGTCTACATATCCCTTCATGTCCTGGCACATCGCTACCTCTCCAACCTGCTTACTCCTCAACCTACTACCCGTTGCCTCCACTCGACTGGCACTGTCCTCCTGCTTGCCGCTCGTGCACTCCTTTCCACCATCATTGGCTGCAATTTCAGCCACTACTCCCCGAAACTTCCTCAATCCTTTCTCTTTGCCCCATCCTTCCCCATCTTCAGGTCGCACCTAAAGACCTTCTTCGACCGTACAGTAACCTCACCCTGACTCAACATCATGCTCCGCCACTGTCAAGCGCTCTGGAATGCATGAGGGACGCAATATATATGCAGGTTGTTATATTTTCCCTGGTTATATTTTGCATGCAATAACGGGTGCAATTCTCTCCTCCAGTCTTCTTTTAGACAAGCGGCTGCGAGCAGAGTGCAAGAACCAAGGAGCCAATTTACCAACGCCTCCCTCTAATAGATATGACACTTTATTGAAGCAAAGACATGTGCAGGTGAGAGATCAGGGTAATCTGTGTAGCCTATAGAATTACAGTATGTGGGTATTTGGTTTTTTTTAATTAATTATGGTTTGATGTTTTGTCAGAGTTTGTAAAAAATTCTTTCTCATTGTCTTTGAGTAGCTAAACCTGCATCTGTAGAACTTGTTGAAGCAGACTAAATGGGAACCCTTCAAAAGGAATTGGATAGATGCTTGAGAATCGAATATTAAAGGGTATGGTGAATGAGCAGGAGAGGGAGACTTGGGGTCGGTGGCTAACATAAACAGCAACACAAACTTAATGGATTGTGGCTTTTTTTTGTGCTTTATTGTTTTGATTGTGCTATTTCTTGTTTATTTGCCATGCTCCCTCCCTTGCCTCCTTCAAGGCATGTCTCAAGGTCCTCCTCTTCGACCGCTCCTTCAGTCACCCTCCTGCCCTCCACCTTTCTGATCCCAACCCCCAGCTCAGGTTCAAATCTCTCCTGATGTGAAAGGTGCTAGACAAATGTAATTTGTTATTTTTCTTTTCTGTTTTGGTGAGCTGAATATGGAAATAACCCTCCTTTCTCAAGGAACGTAGAATCTGTCTTCACTCTTTACCTTCATAAGACGTTTTCTTAGTTGTTCAAGTGAAGTCATTTAATCGCTTTCTGCCATTATTGTACTTTTTTTATTTGAATCCCTGAGACATTTTTGTCAACAATAATGTAAAATGCAACGTCTCAGAACCGAGACTGTCTCCAAATTAACATGATTGATGGGTACAAAGAACGCAATGATGTGAATAAAAGTATTTTTAGCAAAACATTAGTCCTGTAAGCTGACATGAAAATTGTATTTGTTGTAATGCATCCTCATTATTAAGAAAAGTTCTGTTTTGGGCAAAGCCCTGCTTTTTTTTCAATGTAACATTTTTAGTGGAACAACTTCATGGGGAAGGTAGTGTACACAATTGATTGATCAGCGCCTCTCAATGATCTGGAGGTAGTAATTGGAAGTAACTTATTTTACTTCTTGATTCACAGCTTCTTGGTAGATCAATAGACCTGAACCGGCTGATCACACAGAGAATTTCAGCAGCTGTGTACAAATCGTTGGAATTGGCAATTGCCCGATTTGAGAGTGAGGACCTGACCTCCATTGTGGTGGGTTTCTTGTATCTTACTTGATCCTGATTTATGTTGGAGCTGGAATTCCGTCCAGCAATGTTGTACAAAATATAATGTGAATAATGAAATGTAAGATTTTATTCTGTGAAATAGAGCATCACCAATTACAGCTACAGTGACCAATTCTTGTATTTCAGTTCATATTTTGCCTTTCTTTATATTTAAAGTGTGCTATTTTTCATTTGGCTTTCCTGTATTCTGCAGTATATAGGAATGCCAATTAGTCAGATATAAATTGACACCTATGATCCCCAAATAGTACTGAATCAGATATCTTGGTGAAGCCTATGTGCTTTAACCACAGAGAGATAAAATAGCTGAGTCTCACAAGCTCAAAAGATTGATCTGGATAAAGAAGGCCCTTCAGCCCATCCGAGCTCAGTCCATCCGATCTCCATCTTCCCATCATAGCATCAAGCTACTTTTTAAATGAGCCTAGTGGCCTGCCCTCTTCCAACTTTCTTAGCAAACTGTTCCAGTCATTGATTACCCTCCATGTGGAAAAAAAGACAAACAAAAAACTTCCTGGTGACTGTCCTGAAATTACCCTTTAGAGCTCTAACTGTCATTCTTCGTAAAATAGTGATCTGGGTTTACTTTTTCAATCCTGTTTAAAATTTTATATACCTCTATGAGGTCCCCTCTGAGTCGTCGACTCTCGAGGCTAAAGAGCCCGAGCTTGTCTTATTGTTGTTCGTGGCTCATTCCCCTAACACTGGGGACCACATTCGTTGCTCTCCTATACTGCCTCTAGGGCTTGGGTAGCCGCCTTATGTCACGGTGACCAGAACTGTCTGCAATAGTCAAGGTGTGATCTGATTACAGTCTGAGTATGACATCTGGGGATCTAAACTTAAACTGCTTTAGCAATATAGCTCAGCATCCTGTTTGTCTTGTTTATTGCAGCCTCACACTGTTTTGACATAGTGAGTAATGAGTCAACTAACTGGCGTAAGGTCTCTTTCAGCTTCTGCGTTGGCAAGTTCAATCCCATTCATGGAGTACTTGTGTTTTCTATTCTTGGATCCTCTATGTACTATCTTGCATTTATTGGTATTAAGCTTAATTTGCCAGTTATCAGCTCATACACTAACAAGATTTTGTTATAGGACTTTTGCTGCCTCCTCTGATTCCATGTTTTTCCCCCAGTTTGGTATTGTCTGCAAATGTAACTACCTTACACTGGGTCTGCGAATCATTAATATATACCAGGAACAGGAGGGCTCCCAATACAGATCCCTGAGGCACCCCACTTAGTATCCCTCCCATTTTACCTAGCTCCCCTAACAAAGGCCCCAGGCAAATCTAAATCCACATCATGTCTTCTCCTTGATACCCAGTGACTACAGTTTGGGGAAGAATAATTCATGTGGTACTTTGTTGAATGCCTTTTGGAAATCCAGATATAAGTCGAATCCTGTAGCTCAGTAGTTAAAGCACTTGACTCGCAAGCGAGAGACCTGGGTTCTATTCTAGGCCGGGCAAAATATTGGCAAGTTTCTTTACTCCGCCTGTTTACCTAGCAGTAAGTAGAAACCTGGTTGTTAGTCGATTGGTGGATCACCTTTTTGGGATAATAATCCTTAAAAAAAGTAAATAATTTGGTGTCTCAATCCTCGGCGGTTTGTGGGACACTGCTGTGTGCAATTGGTTGCCGCGTTTTGCCCACAAGTATACATTCAACTCATTTTACAATATATTCTGTGAAGCGCTTTGCGACGTCTTGAAGATGTGAAAAGTGCTATCTAAGATAATAGCAATAATAATAATCCTTGCATTTAATATAGCATTTGATATAGCATTTGATTATTATTATTATTGTAGGGCTTCCCACAGTCAATTGGGCTATCACATCCTCAAAACAAGTCTTATTTGATTTGTCAGTCAAGATCGACTTTTTCTGAACCTGGTGGCCCTGAATTTATTAGATTATTTTTATACAGTTGATCTTACACCCCCTTTATGATGATTCATTCCGTAATTTTTCCAATGATTGAGGTCAGGCTAATGGTTCTATAGTTGCTACACTTACACTTATCCCAACTTTTTAGCGTTATTTTCTACTTCACCGGGCATTGCTGCATTATTCCTCAGAGCTCAAATAGTAGCTCCTCCTCTCTCGAGTGTGCTTGTGTGTTGTCCATGAATGTTTTACAACGTCATTGATGAAGCCAGTAGATCGGCACTGATCAAGTTGGCTGTGGGAATGAGAAAGTGAGAGGAGAGAAAAAGTACTTTTATTTAAAAAAAAACTTCTAGCACCTAAATTACAAAGCTAGTAGTTAACAAGCTATTTGACAAACTGTAATATTAAAATTTTCTTGGCAATTTTTCCCCCAAATAAAAAATCCGCAGCTGACTATTAAAATATCACATGATAATAATAATTCTTGTAATTGATGCAGCGCCTTATCACGTCGTTGAGACGTCTCAAAGCATTTCACAGAATATATGGTAAAGACTATTTTCTGGGCAAAACATGGCAGCCAATTACGCACAGCAGTGTCCCACAAACAGTCGTGGATTGAGTGATGAGATTCATATTATATCACAACAATGATATGCAGATCTTGCTCAGGGCTTTCTTCCTCATTAGCTGCTTGCTTGTTTTACTGGAAAAAACCTGGCATGTCACAGGCTCCTCTTGTCCATGTATGCTGTGTTCTCACTTCCCAATTTGAAGATGTTATAATGATTCTTGTAAATTTGCATTCAAATTCATTTGTGATGCTTCTCCGTTCTGCTAATGAAGCCGTTTATAATTTGTCAGAGAGGAAGTTTATCACAGCACATTGTTTGCCCCCATCTGTTTGTAAACACTAATGCTGCATTTTGTTTGTTTGGCTGCATCTGCTATGGCTCTGGGTTGCATTCAGATCTATTTGCTTGCAAATTTATAACCTGGGCCGATAGAAAAGTGCGGCCACAATTTTTTCGGGGAATTCGCTGCACTCTCCTCCGCTCCACGACAATGTAGAAAATCCGCAGATGGCAGTATTTTCTATTAAAATATACTGTGCGCAATTGGCTCCTGCGTTTCAAATAAAAAAAAATTGGTCACTCAATTCACGAGTATTTGCAGGACACTGCTATGCGCAATTGGAATTGCGCAATTGCGCGTTTTGTCCACAAAATATACTCAGTTCACTTTACAGTATTTTCTGTGAAGCGCTTTGAGATGTCTTGAAGACGTGATAAGGCGCTGTATCAAATGCAAGGATTATTATTAATATCACATTATTATTATAAGCCTAATCCTGTGGCCCTGTTTATGACCAAATATTTCAGGAGGACTGTCTGTTGTAGCCAAGGGCTACTTTAAGCAGAGATTTAACTTTGAAGACAAAACTGAATAAAAGAAATCTTGCCTTTAATTTTTCTTTTTTAAAAAAAACCTGACATTTGGTCGAGTGTCTTTCACGTGTGGAGGATGTCACAGAACATCTGCTTCACAGAACATATTGTAAAGTGGAGTGACTGTGTTTTGTGGGCGAATGTAGCAGCCTATTTGCACACGACAGTGTTCCACAAACAGAATGCCAATTTTATTTGGGGATTGCTGGCCAGGACACTGGGAGAGGCAAACTCCCTTCTCTTTTTGAATAATGCCTTTGGATCCTTAACGTCCACCTGAGCAACCAGATGTTAAAAATAATTAAATTGTGTGTTTTTATTAGACGGAAAAAGTTCATTTTGTAAAGGAAAATGCTGTATGAGGAAATTCTTCTGCCATCCATGACTTGCTCTAAGTAACTAATGAATGCAAAAAATCTAATACAGTTATAATTCTCCTACCTTAAATCAGCCCCTAGAGCTCGAAGTGGAGATTAAATAGGTTTTCCCAGGCTAACTATTATATTATATGTGCTGGTTGACTGAAGGACAACAAGTACAAGATAAATGGGCACCAGTTAACATAGAATCATTAGATAGCATTGGTGATGTTCTGTAGAACTGAAAGCAGGGAAGTACACTGCAACTTTGTTTTAATGTGCTTCTTTATAGGTCAAATTTGGTTATCAAGACTTTGCACCATGGACTCCATTCACTGTAAATGCACACTTTCTACATGCTGACTTTTGCACTAAAATGCAAATTTCCAGGTCACCCCGGCCGCTGCTGATGTCACTTCACTCTTTGCCCATGTACAGCAAACTGGAAGTGACACTGCTGTACATAATTGGCTTCCGCATCTCTCCTACAAAATACACAGTCGATCTACTGCGCAGTATATTCTGTGAAACGCTTTGAGACATCTCAACGACGTGATAAGGCGCAAATGCAAGGATTATTATTATTGGAAGGTTATGGCTGAATTGAAATGGGTCGGTTGGCTACAACATGATTAAATGGGATTTTGTTACCTTGGGGATTTACTTTGTCTTCTGGTTTTGATTTATAGGAGCTTGATGGTCTGCTTGAAGTCAATTGCATGAGTCACAAACTGCTCAGCAAATACCTGACCTTGGACAGTTTTAATGCTATGTTCAGAGAGGCCAACCACAACGTCTCTGCACCATATGGAAGAATAACTCTACACGTCTTCTGGGAACTGAATTACGATTTCCTTCCAAACTACTGCTACAATGGCTCTACACAGAGGTTTGATATTTAAATCGTTGATTAATGTTTTGCTAAGAATCTTAATTTAAAAGCTAGCTGCCAAACAAAATAAATGGAAGGAGCCAAGCCATTTCAGTTGAGTCACATTGTGTTTTTTGTAATTTGGCTGTAATGAGGTAGTGGTGTATAAATATTTATTACTGGGCTTTCAGTTCTGAAAGGTAATCCATCATCTTGTAATTTTTTATTTTCACACCTGCGCAGATTCAAAATAAAATTAGCACAAATTAGGAGGTGATGCTTAGAACATGCAACTCATATTCTTAGGGCTTTTTTTTTTGTAACATACTTTGATGGCTACACTCTCCTTCCCCCACCAGTTGCTCTGGCGTCACTCCATAAAAGAGTACAACTAGAGGTTAAGTGATGAGGTGCATAGACATTGAGATCCAGTCAGCCACCAAAATTACACAGATTTTAGCTTTTCGTTTTTTTTAAAAAAAAAACTTCCATTTAGAACCATGGAGTGTAGCAGCACAACAAAAAATGACATTTATATCGCGCCTTTCACGTCGGAAGGACCCCAAGGCTCTGGACAGTTAAGGATTAGCACCCGAACTGGGGGTTGGAATCAAGAGGTTTGAGGGGGCGAAGGCATGGTCAAAGAGGAAGGTCTTGAGACGGGCCTCGAAGGAGATGAGCACAGCAACAGATCATTCGTCCCTTCCTGTCTGTGGGATGGATGGCAGCTTTTGCCCTCAACACCAATGCTGAAATAATGTCACCCTGGAGGCCGGAAGATGTGCCTGAATCGCAGGTGCATTTTTTTCTTGATTCCGCTGCTGTTATTTTAGATCGGTGGTCAGTGAGAAAAAAACTCTGAGGTTTTCAAGCGTGCATAAAGCGTACAACAGCAATGTGCCTTCACAAAAATAAACTTGTATGGAGTGCAATGACATTCTTTCGCTCTAACATTCCTCTTTTGTAGCTACTCATCTGCATGCTCCAGAAGCAGTGGGAAATCGACTCTGAAAAGGGTACACAGATATTTAGCAGCAGGAAATGTGACCAGTTTTCACTTCTACAGGGGGACCAAAAAATCGTGATATCCAAACTATCATCTGAACAAAAATATAATTTCTTTAAGACTTAGTAGACAATCTAATCGTATCATGGCTTTTTGGTCACCCTATAGTTACCTGTGGAAGTTGGTTCCGAATTTGGAATGTAAAAGTTAGGCTGGCAGGACTAATACAAAACCAGCCTGTTACTGAGCACTGCATCGACCAAGCAGATGGGCTTTAGCTGATCTACTGTATTTGTAATGAGCTTCGAGTTACCAGGTGACGACAATTACAGGGTCTTGAATCGTCTGTCAGTAAATCATTTGAATCTGTATTATATATTGCAGGGGTTAAAAGCTGAAGCAGTCTTCAGTCTTCAAAGTTTTTTGTCTGAGCCATTCAGTGTATTTTCTTATCATTCATCCGTCAGTGATCCATGAGAAATGTCATTTGAGACCGACCAATGTTAATTTGTCTTGACGCAAAGTAATTACGTACTTAACACCAAATCTTATTCCAGCCTAGTCACTGAAGCTTCTGTCTAGCCCCTGTGATCTTCTCCTTTTAGATTCTGTTTATTATGATTTAGACCATATGTTCATTCTGGATCTGTAATGAGACACACTGTTGCCCTGAGGTGCCAATGTACTGCTTCCTAACATTTAAGCAGAGCACTGAATATTCAAGAGAGCTTAAATGTCTCAATTTTAGCCTTAAAACCATCATCATAAAACAGAAGTTCGGACTAACTTATGGAAAATTCAGTCTTAATTTGAAAATCATCTTTCTAAAGTATTAAAAAGAAACCGGCTTCTAAATGTGGACTCATTTGAACACTTTTTCAAAGTTCTGCTCAATTCTACATCTTAAGACAATAATTCTGAGGCTGAGCCTCTAAACATCCAATCCTCGTCCTGTCTTCACACCTAATTTCTCCAGGTCTGGAATAGAAGCAGATACCCTGACTGTTTCTTTTTTCTTGCCACCCAAGACCAATTATTAGTGCCCTTAACTTAGATCAGCAACCTCAGCACAGGCTGAGGACTGAACCAGATTTAAAACTTTTTACATCAGAACATAAGAAAAAAGGACTAAAGTCCATTTAGTTCGCCTTCTACCTTCCTGGCAGTCGCATGCACATATGTCGGAGTCCTGTAGCTCATTGGTTAGAGCACTCGCTTTGCAAGCGAGACCTGAGTTCAATTCCAGGCAGAGGGCGAAACCTTGGACAAGTTTCCTTACTCCACACAGAGCCTAATAATAATCCCTCCAAAACCAAAAACAATAATAAATTGGTCATTTTCAATCTACGACTGTTTGTGGGACATTGCTGTGCGCAATTGGCTGTCGCATTCGTCCACAAATATACAGTCAATTCACTTTACAGTGTGTTCTGTGAAGCGCTTTGGGACGTCCTCCCGACGTGAAAAGCGCTATATCAAATGCAAGGATTATTATTATATGTCTCAAACTCCCTATGTACTATATCACATAATGTTTTTTCCAAAAGAAAAATATCTAATCTGTGTTTGAAGGAATCAACATTTCCTGCTTCAACCATCTCCCTCGGGAGCCTGTTCCACAGGTTCACTATTCGCTCACTGAAATAGTGTTTGCATAGATTCGTTCTGAATTTATCCCCTTCAATCGCAGGCCGTTTCATCTGGTTTTACAATTCTGGACAAGTTGAAACAGCCTATCATGATCTGCATGTCTAACCCCTTTAGAATATTAAGGACAGCAATCGTATCTCCTCTCAATCTTCTCTTTTTGTTTAAAAAAGCAGTGTAAAATGTGTTGTGCATATTTTGATATAAAATGGTTGGTGTGCTTTAGATCAATGCCAGATGCTCATATATAGATTGTTCTGTATAAACACACTATAAAGATTGTGTGATAATTATTTAACATGGCGATTATTTTTAAATGGTCTTTTTGCTTCTGAACATGGCCTGCACAGTGTTATTTTGGTTATAAAAGGCATGTCTTTCAGTGTACTTCTCATTTTTCTCTCAGGTTTGTGCGCACCGTACTGCCATTCTCTCAGGAGTTTCAAAGAGACAAGCAACCAAATGCACAGCCACAATACCTATATGGGACCAAGGTTGGTACATTCTGCATTGTGCTAGGGTTTGATCATTAACAGTTGTTTTTAGGTTGCTGCCCATTGTGTTGCTTACAAGTATTTAACTGTTGAAGTGGCTTCCCTCTGTGAATCCCCATTTGAGAAGAAAGAAATCTTGACAAATGAAAGTAACCACTTTAGTCTAAACCCAATTAAGGTCTTCTTCCCACTCAGCTCCTTGTAAACCTTGTAAACCAATGACCTAACAGGTAGTGTTTCCAGCTGGAGAAATACCAGAAGCTTAGCAGGTAGTGCATGGAAATTTGCATGTGTAGGTGGCATGAATGGAATTCTGTCTGGTTTGGATACTCAAAACATGTAAGCATGGTGATGGATTTTTGCATGCTCTAGACACCCGGCTGACCAAAGAAAAGAGACAGGGTATTCACAATTGGCCAAATGGCCTTCTTCTTTGATGTAAACCTCTATGGCTCATTGGTGGTATCGTATTACTACAACAACTGGTGTGTATATATATATATATAATATATATAGTGCCTTTCATGTAGGGTAATGTCTCAGAGTGATTTACAGGGGCATAGTTGGACAATGAGCAATGTGGAGGTGGCCGTAGGCGCATTCAAATAGGTAGGATTTGAAGTGGGATTTAATGAAAGACAGAGAGGTGAGAGAATGGAAAGGGAGATTAGTGGTGTAGGAACTGAAGGCTCAGTCACCAATGGTGGCATGGATATGATGGGGAAGTGCAGCAAGTCCCAGTTAGCTGAGTGGAGGGAGTGAGTGGAGGAGTAAGGAGGAGGAGAACAGAGAGGTAAGGAGGCGGAAGGGAGTGGATGAATTTATAAGTAAGCACCTTGAATCCATCCTCGCTGGGAGTCAGTAGGGTGAGGATTGGGGTGATGGGTGTGCAGAGTTTGGAGCAGATGAGAATGCAGGTGATAAGGTTTTGGATAAGTTGCAGCCTGTGGAGCTTGGGAGACCAGTGAGGAGGGCATTGGAAAAGTATTTAAGTGGGATGTAAATGAGTCTTCCATTACTCAACACAATATAGCTTCAGATTTTGAGAATTGAAGGTCACAACTGTTAGTGGTTGTAAAAGTTTAATTAAAATTCACCAGGATCTTAAAGAAACGTGTAGCTGTAGTTCATACAATTGGTATGTTTATACCTGGAGAAAGAGTTGCCTCAAAAGTTTTTTCTTTGCCACAGTTTTACCTGTGGTTAGAAATGAATGACTCAGCTGCCATTACCTACTGTGATTTATATTCCTACTCATTGTGAATCTGTATTCCATATCTTATTTTTGAAGAGATTAGGGGGGGCAAACTGACTTCTGTTCCCCATGTTGCATCACTGGTATAAAAATGTACATTCCCCTTATATCGGCAGAATTTTTGATTCAAGGACTTCTCATTGATTGCCTGAAACATCTGTTGTCTGCAACTTTCTTGTCAGTGTTTCTTGCAATGAATAGTGATTATTGATCTATGACATTTGACGTATTGATAAATCCCTGCCTTTTTCATAGTTCACCCAACCTCATCTGTTTAGTTGAGATTGTGAATTGAGAAATTCTAAACTTGACCACTGTAGTGCAGAATATTAGTTGTTCTTGTTTTTGTTGCTACCTGTAAGAAAGTATAGTCAAACCTTCAACAATGTCTCGGCACTGGGCCAAAGTGGCCTTTGTATAAAGGTGGCCTCTGAGTCAGGGATCGTTGGTGTGTGCAGAACTTCCAAGTGGAAAGAAAAATTTGGTGTACGTACAAACCCATAAATTAAATATACAGTTGAAATGTCCACACAAAATACAACCGAGTACAAGTTAATACAGGTTCTTCTGTGTCTCTTCATGAATGCGAATCACTTCCACTCGCTGTTGTAAAGTGTGTGGCTTTCTCCCCTGAGTCGATATGTTGCGAGCCATAGATGTCGGAAAAACAAAGACCAGATGATGGTATCACCATCTTTTATACACACCGTGCAGAATCAGTAAGTGAAAGTACGGCTTCCCTTTGTTGGTGCCGTTTAATCTACTTTGTGAATCTGCCGCAGTGATTCGGCTGCCATCACATCTACTGTAGTTCTTACCCATTGAATATTTGTATTCAATATCTTAATGCCTCAAAGTACTTTATCCATAAAGAATTCATAGAATCTTACAGCACAAAGAGAGGGCCATTCAGCTGATCGTGCCTGTGTCGGCTCTTTGAAAGAGCTATCCAACTAGTCACACTCTCCCACTCTTTCCCTATAGCCTTGCAACTTTTTTTCTTTTCACGTATCTATTCAAATCCCTTTTCAAAGATACTATTGAATCTGTTTCAACACTAGTTTCAAAGATACTATTGAATCTGTTTAACAGAAACCTGGCTCACCCCAGGCGACACCTTCCCCCTCACTAAAGCCACACCACCCGGCTACACCTCCCACCACATCCCCCGCCCCAACCGCCGTGGCGGTGGTGTTGCCCTTATCTCAAGGACACCACTTGCCCTATCCCCTTACTCCACTGGCTCTTTCCCCTCCTTTGAGCACCTCACCCTCTCCCACCCCTCATTCCTCTCCCTTAAAATCCTCCTCCTCTACCGGCCCCTAAAACCTCTCCCACCTTCAGATGTGAGGAGTTGAGCTGAAGAAAGTTGTCTCTCGTCCAGGACTCGATGTCGGACAGACAGCTGTCAGGACATCGGTGGTCGTGGAGTTGAGAATAGAGGAGGAAAGGTAGAGTTGGGTGTCATCCTCAGGTCTCTCACTTGCAAAGCGAGTGCTCTAATCACTGAGCTACAGGACTTCACCCACTGAGCTAAAGGACTCCACAAAGGACAAGACACAAAGGCTACAAAGTTTTGAATAGTTTGCAGTCTGTTAGGAAAGAGCTGGAGAATCTGGGGAGCAGTGCATTAGCATAGTCAAGCCGGGGCATGATAAAAGCTTGGAAGAGGATCTTGGCTGCTCAGGGGTTGGGGGGAAAGGTAGTGCTGAGGCTGACAATGTTATGGAAGTGAGGGACAGTTGAGGGGAAGGCGCACACATGTAGGGTTTGAAGGTCAGTTGTCAGTGGAATATGCCACTGAGGTTCGGCTTCAGCTCTGTGAGGTGGAATGTGCGCACTTTGATGCTGTCAGCGCCTGAGGTGCGAAGGCATTGACAGGCGTTGAGCAGGAGTCACAGTCTTATTTAACTGGAGAAAGTGAGAGCTCATCTACACACTTGATATCTGACAGGCAGGCAAACAGCAGTGGTCCTGAAATCGAGACTATAGAAGCTTTAATCCTTAGACTGTAATTGCAGTTTACCTACAACTGCACAGTCCCTACATCTTACAGTAATTCTTGTTTTGAGACCTTTTGATGACAACAATAACAAGATTACATTTGGATAGTGCCTTTCACGTCAGGAAGTTGTTCCAAGGCGCTGGACAGAGTATAGCATTTCAGACCCGAGCTGGGGTCGGAAAGGGAGGGGAGGTGAAGGGGGGTGGCATTGACTATGCTAATGCACATGGTCGAAGAGGAGGGTCTTGAGGCGGAACTTGAAGGAGGCTAAGGAGGGTCGAGGCGGAGTGATTGGGAGGATGGAGTTCCAGAGGTTCGGGGCAGAGTGGCTGAACGCTCTCCCGCCATTGATGGGGTGGGTGGGTCGGGGGACGTGGAGCAGCCAGAGCCGGCTGAGCGGAGGGAGTCGGCGGGTTGGTAGTGGGTTAGGAGGTGGCAGAGGTAGGGTGGGGTGAGGCCATGAAGGGCTTTGTATGTGAGGACCAGGATCTTGAATTGGATCCTCTGAAGGATAGGGAACCAGTGGAGTTGGGTGAGAGTGGGGGAGATGGGGTCACGGAGTTTGGTGCGGGAGAGGACACGGGCTGCAGGATTCTGGATTGTCTGCAGCTGTCGAGGGAGGAGTTGGGAAGGCCGACAAGCAGGGGGTTTGCATAGTTGAGCCTGGAGGTGATGAAGGTATGAACAAGACTTTCAGCGCCTGAGGGGTGAGGTAGTGGCGGAGTCGGACAGAGGTGAGGAAGGCAGAGCGGGTGATGGCTTGAATGTGGGGGAGAAAATACATGGTCAGAACTACATAAAATGCAAGGATTAGAATTGATCTGTTCTTGGGCTGGTTGAATGCTTGGAACTGCCTGCTATGAAAATGTAACAGGGTGATATTGCAGCAAATGCAATGTTACAAACTAGATTTTATTTAGAAAGCGGTGGAAAGGGAAGTACATTTTGTTTGCTGGTTCATGTAAAGAATGACAAAAAAGTTTTCTTTTCGGTGTGTAAAAGTTACACCCTTCAGTGTCCTGTATAACATTAGTCGGATGCAGTGTACAATTGCCTCTAACAGTGTCTCAGAAATGTGCTTTCATTCACACCCCCAAAAGAGCATCATAAGCAGACTTTGTACATTCTTTAAACCAAGAATTAGACATATGCTTAAAAAATAATAAAGGGTAAGGGGATCAAGCAAGAATCGAATTAGGTGAGATGAGTTGTGAATAATTATTATTAAAAAAAATAATTTGATCACTCAGTCCACCACTGTTTGTGGGACATTGCTGTATGCAATTAGCTGCTGCGTTTCGCCCCCAAAAATATAGTCAATTCACTTCACAATATATTTTGAGACGTCTCGGAAACATGATAAAGCGGTGTAAGGATTATTATTATAATCAAATAGAATTAGTGGCTTGAATTGCATGTTTCTGAGCTGTGACATTCTATGATTCTAACCCACCGCATCAGTCATTCTCCATGACACCATGTTTACACATTTTAGTTCATGTTCTATGGTAGTTTTCAATAAACTTTTTTGTTTTTATTAATGTTATTATTCATGCTTACAATTTAACATTTAACACCAAAGCTGAAGGTTAATGCCGGAATGAGCTCACTCCACAAAGATTACATTTGCTTGAACACAAGAGAATGAAACATCGAGCACCTCACCACACAATTGGTACGTTTTCAGACGAATTGATAGAAATTTGTACAAGCATCAACTGAACATGAAAAATAAACTCC